TGTGTGTGTGTGTGTGTGTGTGTGTGTGTGTGTGTGTGTGTGCGCGCAGGCTGATGGAGAGCTGTCCTCTCTGAAGGTCGGCCGGGTTCCCGTGGTTACAGCTGGGGGCTCGTCAGTCTTCCTCCCCCTGAGCAGGGAGGATCAGGCTGGGCACCCCCACCTGCCTGTCATCATCCTGGAGCCCTCGGGACTGGTACACACTCCGCTACTCACTGGTGAGGCACACACACACACACACACTGACACATATACTATAGGCATGTACGTGCATTTACACACTCAGTGTATGTGCACAGGTGTACGGATATGAAAGTTATCAGTGTTGAAACGTTGATAAGGAAATACCAATTTTACTTTTACCCTCTGTAACTGATTTACATCTGGGACTGGGATTGTTTGCACATGCAAAAGTTCTCAAGGCTGCAAAAAAAACAAATAACCACAAATGAACCCACATACATTCATCAACACTGAACCCACCGAGGGAAGCAGTGGTTTCACAAAGGTCTTTCAAGTGTATTGTCTGAAATGTTATAGCACCACCCGGTGGTTACATTTGGAATGATCTTTTTTCTTTTTCTTTGATGGCGTGGCACCTGTGCTCTTCTTTTCCCCTCGGTTCAGTGGTTCAGATTCTAAAATGAAAGAAATGATTCAGTCAGTTTACAAGACAGCAGGGTGGTAGTTATTGTGTGTGTGCATGACTGTTGGTCTGTCTCTCATAAAGTAGCATAACTACTTTCCTTCTCCTTGTTCTCCGTATCTCTCACCAGTTCCGGGCCTGGACTCTGTCCCGCTGCAGTTCGCCTCCCAGTTAGACCACCTGTCTCCTGGAGGTCCTCAGCCCCACAAGCCCTTGAGCAGGACACGCTCTGAACCCCTTCCCCAGAGCCCAAGGAACCTTCACACACATCTCCTCCAACAACAGCACAACACACAACTACTGGAGAGGCTCAAACAGCAGACCCACCTTGGCAAGGTGTGAATGCACTCTGATCTGCATCTATGAAAATTATTAGTAAGAAGACACGAACACTGGTCTTTTGACCTTCTACGTGAATTTACTGGGGCTGCAGGTAAAACAGTGGAATCACGTTATCGCTGCCTTATTCCACATTTGCATCCGATTTAAATTTGCAGCATGTAAACGTCTTCAGCTTGGTGAGAGTTTAAATTACAGACTGTGAAAGTGGATTAAAGCAGGAGACGGACATGGCAGCAAATTTGTTGATGTTATTTGCCTTAGCTTGTGTAGGTTTTCTTAGAAGCTAATGATTGAATGCAGGGGTTTATGTGTGTGTGTGTGTGTGTGTGTGTGTGTGTGTGTGTGTGTTTGGATTTTGAGAAGTCACACAGACATGATACACATTTAGATTCAGTGTGAAATACACTTCCTAAGGATATCATTATCCCTGACATTCGTAAGTCTGCAAGAAAAAAAATCACAGAAAAAGACTTCCCTCTGTATCAATGTAATCCAGTGATAGCTGTCTGTGTATCCATGGCTGCACTGCAAACTGCTGGAAGTGCTGATAGCTAATTTGTTAATGTTGCCAGTTTGCTAAAATGGAAGCCGTGGCCTCACAGTTTCAGACTTTCCTCCTGATTTAAATGTGAAACTTCCTGCTGATACCAAGAGCTTTCTTCAGACTGTAGCAATCCTGTTTCAGAAGGAGACAGTCTCAAGGATGCAATTTTGGATATGGGCACAAGGGTTAAAACATTTAAACACTGCTATCTGTGTTGCGGCAGTGAGATGTCTTCCTCCAACACAAACTTGACCGGCTTGTGTTTATTTTTGTGACCCAAAGGCCGTTGTTTCCAACAAGCACCTTTTAGATTTTCACTCACATCCCCTCATTAGCCTCTGCATATTTAGATGAGGTTGTAACTGAGACAGAGAAAAAGGCGTATGTACTGTCTGCACATGTTTTTCATCAGGTGTTACGCTACAGCAGCAATGTGCAGGGCCTGCTTGTGAATCCCTCTGCAGATCATGTCTTCATCTGAATGCCCAAGTGCAAACACTGATATGTTTAATCTGCATGTGTATGTGTTTGTGCAGCTGATGTCCAAGTCCAGCGAGAAGCCCAGACTGCACCAGATCCCCTCTGAGGACATGGACTCAGAGGACGGTGGTGGGATGTCGCCCACAGAGCCGACCTATCAGAGCAGAGTGAGGTCAGAGTCACTGAGGGAGGCGGAGCCAACGGCATCCAAGAGCCACGAAGAGCAAATGAACCTGCAACACGCGCTCATACTCAACCAGGTTAGAAAAACAGAGAGTTCTCTGACACACGAGATACACACACACACAACAAGCAGTTAGACAGATGGAGTGAAACCACACGGCTGCTCTTCATCCAACAGTCCTGTAGATGGCGGCCTCACGCTTGCACTTGCATTGGTTCTAGTTGCCGTTGCGTCGTCTTGTGGTTTGACGACTACTCATTACATTTATGTGGTCATTTCAGCATGATATGATGACAGAGTGCATGTAATATGAGCTGAGCTGCGACCCTTCACCACATCGTCAGGAGGCCAGCTTTGGATAGAAGGAATGACAATGAGACTTTTTAAAGGAAGAGATCAGACTTCCAGATTGAAAACACTACACTTGATATTGATCCAGATGTTGGGGGGTGGGGGGTGGGGGGTAATTAAGGCAGATTTTATTGACATTAAGCTGAAGGAAGCTCTGCAACGTCCAGCACTTGACATCAGCCTAGAATACAACTAACTTAGAGAATATTAGAGGGAAGTAACAGCTGCATGTAATAAATGTAGAAACTGATGTAAATATAATGAGCAGTAATATTCACAGAGACCCTTTGGCTCTCTATAGTTTCTGTTCTACACTTTCCTCTCATACTTCATTTTGCCTTCTTTTATATTTATGATATTTACTTGGAAATCTGTCCATAACATGACTATCCTTCATCCTTCATCACCCCACCTCTCTCTGTAGTCATTGCTATGGGAACAGCAGAAGCAGCTGCAGCAGCTGCATCGACAGATGGAGACCTTGGCAGTGCCCATGTTACGAGACAGCGGCGGGGTCGGTAGCAGGTTGGGTGTCCACCGCCCCCTGTCGCGCACACAGTCGTCCCCAGCCTCCACCTCTCTCACTCTGCCTGAGAAGACCCTGAGCCTGCCCCCGCAGGAGACCAGCAGCAAACCACGCTTCACCACTGGCCTGGTGTATGACTCTCAAATGCTGAAGCACCAGTGTACATGCGGAGACAACAGCAGTCACCCAGAGCATGCTGGGAGGATACAGAGCATCTGGTCTAGACTACAGGAGAGAGGCCTGAGGGGACAGTGTGAGGTACACCACCACACACACACACACACACACACACACACACACACACACACACACACACACACACACACACACATAAATTAGCCTGTTTAGACACTCGGGTAGAAAATAGAAAGGTTGAGTTCACAGACAACTTCAGGGCAGAATCAGGCTTTCCGTCTGTTTAACATTATCATTCATTACTTATTATACATTGTCCACATGCTATATGATTCTTTATTGGAGACGTGAAAGTCAAATGAAAATCTTGTGTCTATACAGAGTATTCGTGGGCGTAAAGCCACGCTGGAGGAGCTGCAGTCGGTCCACACAGAGCGCCATGTGTTGCTCTACGGCACCAACCCCCTCAACAGACTCAAACTGGATAACCGCAAACTGGCTGGTGAGCGACACCTCACCCTGATAGAAATGTAGTCTCAATTCTGACTCAGATAATCTAAGTGAGAACTATCTCATGACTAATAATGTTTGTCTGCAGAGTTGATATGATCAAAATTTAAATTAAAGCTTTATAATAAACTTTTGTTTAACAATTATGTTTGTATTTTGTCGTGATTCAGGTAGCGAGGTACCAATAGTTTTCTCATGCCAAGTGTTTTGGTTTTCATTAACCTTCACACTATAAAATGAAAAGAATAAAAACAGTAATATATATATGGTAAGGTAACTTCTATGTTTCTGTTCCCACAGGAATCCTCTCTCAGAGAATGTTTGTCATGTTGCCATGCGGGGGAGTAGGGGTAAGAAAACACACACACACACACACACACACACACACACACACACACACACACACAGAGCTCCATTTTTGATTATAATTCTCCAAAGCTCTTAATGGATGCTATACAATACACCACAATCACTGCGTTGATGAAAGATGATCTAGTTTCAAACAAAAGCACCGAAGAGCAGCAAAAGAAAATTACAAGAAAGACGGAGAGAAGGACAGGATATTAAAGAGGAAAAGAGAGGTTGCTTTGGCCCAACGCTAACGTTCGCCTGACAGTCCGTGTCGGACCATGACAAGTCAGACTAATGAGAACAACATGTCCGTGACCAAGGATAAAAGAAATGCCTCGGATTTCATTGTCCGAGCCAGATGGACAGTAATGCCAGTTTGTGAACAAACAGCAAAGAGAAAAAACAGAATGGAAAGGAAAATTAGTGGCAAATATGGATCTGGCCTCGAGATGAGAGAGTGAAACTGACATTTTTACTCTCCAGTCACAGCTGTGTGTTGGGTCATCCGTGCCCAAGGGGAAAGTCTTTGGTTTTCTTTTATTGCCCGAGAGATCCCCTTTTTGGATGTTCAGGTTTCATTCAACAACAAATATTAAAACTAGTTTCACACATATGAATAAGTGTTCGTAGATGCTTCTTTTTAATCAATGAGCTCCATCGTTTGTCTGTCGATCGGCAGGTTGATAACGACACAATCTGGAATGAGTCGCACACCTCCACGGCGTCCCGAATGGCGGCAGGCAGCGTGGTGGAGCTGGCCTTCAGAGTGGCCAAAGGAGAACTAAAGGTGAGAAAACTGAACCCTGCAGTCGCTCTGCTCTGCTTCCGTCTGTCTTAGCGAGGCATTTACACATTGAAATAATGTGCAAAATTCAAACTTGGATTACAGATTAAATATTCTCAAAAATCACCACAGCCGTCTACATGACTGTATCGAAGGTATAATAATGCTCCAAGAAGTTTCCCCTATATCAGAAAATTATGGATGAAGTGCAAGAAAGGAATGTCAATCCAATAAGAATGAACAGTTATAATATACTTGTAATATTATATATCATGTTTTACTGCCGTGATGTAAGTAACTCAAAACACACACACACAAGGAGGATCGCCGCTCACTCCGAACACATAAAGATTAAAAACACATTTATTTAGTCAGAAGGTGAAAAAGGCAAAGACGTAAAAATGACAGATTTAATTTTGTACTCATACGTGCAAAGTTACTGCTTTTCAGACAGAAAAGAGACAGGCCCATGACAACGGCTAGGGTCAGAGAGAAACATCAACTCAGAAGTGCATCCAGTAAAGAAGCGCGCCTCGCCCCGCCTCAAGGAGCTACTAACCCACTTCAAAGACGACTGGGTTTCAGAAAAGACTTTTCCCTGTCACATAATGGCCTAAAATTTCTCCCTTTTCCTGCTCACAATGATTAAAAGTCTGGGATAAACTTTTTTTTTTTTTTTCTCATCCTAAATTGTCAAATGTAAATATACCACTGGCTAAAAGTATTTATAGCCGGCAGCTTCAATCCAAACATTTCTACCCAAAAACAAATAGATGAAAAAAAAAACAAAAAGTGTAAATCAGGCAGAGAATGTAAAACAATGGCTCAGTCTGTAGTGAGCAGCAGCGGTAAACAAACCACCACACTACACCACAACCACAGGACAACCGCTCCACTTCAGAAAGGCTGTTTTTGAGCTATACATATTGTAGAGAATGTATACTGTACATACTTATTTACAAGACAACATAATAAGTACCCTGGATGACCTGAACTCATGCATTTGATCTTGTGTATGCATGAAATGTTTAGCTTTATGCTTTGAGATGATAAAGATGAAGTCGACTCTAATTCACTTCACTGGCTTTTAAAATAGCAGAGTGAAAAAAATCTTAAATCCACATTTATAATTATATAAAATTGTCTAAAGCCGTCATACTCTCTGTAAACCTCCTGAAAATAATAAAAAAAAACCCTATATCATGAGGCTGGAAGATCGGGTGTTTATGAAAGATAAACTGGGTTTAAAGTCAAAGTCATTTCATAAAGCTCCACCTCAGTGCTGCAAATACAAGCAGCACTGATGTAAACAAACCTCACACAAACCAGGAAGCATTAGTTGCTGTCTAGTTTTCTTCATGTAAACTTTATTCCTTTACATTATAAAAGCTTTAGAAGTGAAGGATTGTAGTTTCTTAACATGTAAAGTTCTTCACATCCAGTCAAACACTGATTAATAGCGTCGTCTTCTTCTTCTGCACAGAACGGCTTTGCTGTGGTCAGACCGCCGGGGCATCACGCAGACCCCTCCAATCCAATGTAAGTGTGTGTGTGTGTGTGTGTGTGTGTGTGTGTGTATGTGTGTGTGTGTGTGTGCGTGCGTGTGTGTGTGTGTGTGTGTGTGTGCGCGTGTGTGTCAGTCACATGCTCAGCCTGACCACAGTGAGTTTTCCTGTTCTTGCTGCACTGTCAGCAGCTTCTTTCTGGAGGATATTTATGGAGTGATAGAGAGAAGACAAAGGGACAAAATCAGGAAGATGAATATGTCTTTGTGTTTTTTTTGTGTGTGTATGTTGTTTTTCTTTTTTAACTGATGCTGTAGTGTTAACCATTTTACATTTCTGAGTCCCTGTCTGACACTACAGACAACGCAGAGCACAGAGCCTTTCCAAACTTCTCATTGACTGTGCACTACTCATGACACTCTGAAGCCAGCAGAGATTTAGTGTTTTTCCCTCTCATGTTCTAAATTGTCTCTACACTTCTGTCACTGTCTCTGTCTCTACAGGGGCTTTTGTTACTTCAATTCAGTGGCCATAGCTGCCAAGCAGCTTCAACACAAGCTCAGCGTCAGCAAGGTCCTCATTGTGGATTGGGTAACTTTAACCTTGTGCTTTTATTTTCACTGTTGTTGTTTAAACTGATGAAAACCCACTGAGATATTCCTGTAGTGGTCAGACGTGAATGTATTTCCTGTGGTATTGCTGTGTTCAGTATAGTATTAATACGTCGTCCTGTTGCTAGGATGTTCACCACGGTAACGGCACCCAGGAAGTGTTCTACAGTGACTCCAGCGTTCTCTACATCTCGCTTCATCGCTATGACGACGGGAACTTCTTCCCTGGCAGTGGTTCGCCGGTGGAGGTGAGCGGCGTCCAGGACACTTTGTCGCCCTGTTGTTGAGTGAAAGTACCGCCAGAATTAAACTGGTTCTAAATGCGTTTCTTTGATTTTTAGGTCGGTTCTGGTGCGGGCGAGGGCTTCAACGTCAACGTGGCGTGGACGGGAGGACTGGACCCACCCATGGGAGATGCCGAGTACCTCGCTGCATTCAGGTACAAACAGCTGCTGCTGTGTTTAAGCACTGCAACACAAGCTTACAAGATAAGGCGATTTATACATGTGGGTGAGTAATTATAGGACAAACCAGCATGAAGTGTCTGAGTTGTTCTACGAGCCTCCAGAACAGCTGCAGTGCTTATTATGATATATAATTGTAATAATCTTTATTTATAAGTCTACGTTACAAAGTGTTTACATTACAAATGTTGTGGTACTCCGTGCTCTGACAGAGACTAGACACTTCCTGTAGACTGTTGTACAGGACTGTTTCTCAGGTTCACTTCATAAGAAGGAGGAAGTAGCTCTTTTAAACTTTTGGGAAGAGTTTGGGAAGTTGGTGTGAATGGAAATATAAATATCTTCAGATTTAGTTTGTGATACACAACAGAACGTTGACTTTTTTTTTTTTTTTCATTTTATCATATACGCTGCACTGAAAATTATTTATAATCTCACTACAGCTCTTTTTCATAAAGACTGAAGAACAGAAAATATTCAGAGTGTCGGGACAATAAGTCAAAGTGGATCATTCTGCTGTCATTGTTTCAGCATGCTCACATTAGTAAGGCCAGTGCATGAGGAATGCTTGGTTTGTCTTTCTGACTTTAATTCGAGTCTTGGATGTGAAATCTGGTAGATTAGGCAACAAACAGAAAAAGCCCAATAACTTTGCCACCAGCTGTGTTCCAGTTTTTATTGATCAGGATGAAGATACTCAGTGGAGCTGTAATCAGACAATTTCTCTCATTTCCTTTACACTGAGCCACAACAAACACACTTAAGCTGATCAGAGGCTCCGCTCCACATCGCCTCTGACGTACTTCTTGCGTAATTGATAATCCTTGTCATTTGGGGACCATGTGTTTGGCGTTCTCGGTTTCCAGTAACTTCAGATGCTTTACAGCAAATGGTGTCCGGGTCTTGTGTTTGACAGACTGCAGACTGTGACTTCCTGCTCGTGGGTCGGGATAATTGTCGACGGTGGGTGTTTGCCACCAATAAAATTTCAGTAGTGTGGGCTTTTTGGTTGTCTGGTGGAGCAAACCCCAAGGAAACTGTGGCAACCGCATGGTTACTGGAAAAGGGGAACAGTGGCAAAGCTGCAGAGAGAACGTGGGTGTGTGTGTGTGTGGGGGGGGATGGGGGGTGGAGGTTGGGGGTGGGGCATACACACAAGCATGTACATGTTTATATAGTCCTCAATCACAAACACACACACTCAAACATGCACTCTCACACATACATGAGGTGGGTGGGCCATGGCAGGCACCATCAGCAACGATCTGCCTGCGTGCACTTCGGTCCTGTCGTTAGTGTGCACTTCCATTAACACACACGATCATTCACAATCGATGATTCAAACATATCACTGCTCATCTGAAGAGTTTCAGAAGTCAGACGAAGCTGTCCTTCCTCTTGAAGTATTCCTGAGCAGAACACTATTTCCTGCCAGCTCCAGGACTGACTCCTTGTAGCATGACCCTGACCTTTGACCTTTTTTGTGGAGCAGAGGTAGACAAAGACAGATTTTGCCCGTGAGAATAATTCAAAGCGGGGGGCTTGTGCACCTGGTGTTTTTTGAGGGGGAGCGGTTCACTTCCATGGCTGTGATGTGACGTGAAATCTATTTGGAAGCGAAGCGTGGGTGTTTAGATTAGATCACATCTGCATGGTGAGAGGATACATGAAAATCATGCTGTTGGAAAGTCCAGAAGGTCCTATGTATGTATATCGTCCTGCTGACAGCGGCCGTGCCCGTTGGATGGAGAAAAACACCAGATATAATTTAGATATCATGTTTTTTCATATCTGCTCATAATTTAAATTCAAACTCGTCCCTTAACGTCAGAGCCGAACAGGAAACGTTCAGGTAATGCTGGCTTCAGTGTTCTGTCTTCATGTGAGAGAGCTCGAGGTTTTGGACATTGAGGAGGTAGGTGTGCACCTCCCACAGCTTGAGGTCATGAAGAAAACCCCAGAAAAAAGGGGGTTGTGTTTTTCTTCACATTTAAAAGAGAAAATGTTTTGAAAAGTATTTAATGACAAAATTGGGTTGAACCGCTTTCCCATCAGATCTAAAGAGAATTAAGAGGGATGTGCCTCCTCAAGTTCAATGGGACCGACTGATTCAAAGTATCATTTTTATTACATAATGTCAATCGTATGGGCCGGTCTTCAGATCTGGACCTAATAGAAGATCTAAGTAATTCTCAGTTTGTTTCAATCTGCCTTTAGCCCCGGATGATGAGAGTTCACCACATCAAAACTGTTCAGATAATTGCCCGCTCAGTTATAGAAAATAAAAGTCATTTAAAGATGAGATGTGAGTTGAGGTCACCGATTCCAGATGAAACTTTGACCGAATCCACCAGAAGGTGCCATTTTCTACCATAGGTCACTAATTATTATTAGTTCGTATAGAATGAGACGTATATGAGAGGAAAATGTGGGTAAAGAGAGAGAGAGGGGATGACACACAACGAAGGTGGACTTGAAATGTTGTATATTTTCATTACACTGTGTAAAAACACAAGTAGGGACAAGAGTCTCCTGCTCTGTATTGGAACTATATTAAACTGCATTTTCCCTATATAATAGAATAAAATAAAAAGCAGTAGAGATGATGTGATTACATGGTCAGCATCTCAGCCACCAGGATGACAGATAAGTAACACAATTTAACCGTGAAGCCCAGTATCTAGCATCGGGCCTTACCTCACTCCGTACACCACCCAGCTGATCTCCTTTCTCTTATTGAATAGACGTAGCACTTTGGACTTACTACTACTGCACTGAAGCTTTAGTGCTGTCCCTCGCTTGTATTAGTCGCTTTGGATAAAAACATCTGCCAAATGATTAAATGCAAATGTCTCTGTTAGCTTTACAGGCCCAAATCATCAAAGGTCCCTCAGTCCAGGCGCTAAGAAGACGAGGAGAAACCCTTAGCGCACACGACAGGACACAGAGTGAAATTCATGAACCAGCGTGACATGAACGTCTTTCTAAAACATCAGACTATAGGGAAAAAAACAACTTTTCTGTTGTCCGGAACAGAAAATGAAAATGATTATGATTATCCTGCAGGGACACATAATCTCTTTAGGCTGTAATGAGAGGGCAGCGTTCCCCCCCACCCACCCACCAGTCACGCTCCTCTCCGTCTCCCTTTGTAATTAATGAATTTTGTAAATGTTTGAACGGTCTGTGGAAAAGAGTGTGTAAGCCATCGATTGAAATAAATGTAATGGGTTAAAGTTTGAGTGTTTCAGCTTCAGAGGGGGAGCGTCGGTGCATTTTCACCTTATCCTTCACTCTCACCCCGACCCCCACCACCACCACCCGACACATATATACACACACACACACACACACACACACACACAGTTCTGCCCCTCTACATCTCCTCCCTTGATTGATCTTTAATAAGCATCCCCTCCTCTCCTCCACCTTCCCTCCTCCCCTCCATCTTTCCATTAGTTTGTCTGTAGTTTCTCTCTCTGGGGGGAGCGCAGGAGCTTTAATGGGTCTACAGGCGAGGTGGGGTTGGGGTTTTGCGGTTAGGTGTGTGCATGTGTGGGGATGAGTGAAGTGTGTGTGTGCGTGCTCTGCTTCATATCCACATGGCTATGATGAAGTTTAGGTCTTAGGAATTATTTATCAAATCAAAGCGTAACACAACCCCAACACACAACACACATCACACACACTGTAAAGGTTTGACACAGTAAAAATGTTACGACTTCACGTGTTGGTGTGTGTATGTGCATGAAATTTCATCCATGTGTTGTGTATATCTTTGTGTTGTGTATTAGCGTGTGTGTGCTGGAATGTGTTTGTGTGTTTTATCTCTGTGTGTCCTCCTTTTTGTCTATGAGCTCATGTTGTCCATCTGCATGCAGTCATGACAGCACTGTGTGTGTGTGTGTGCGTGTGTGTGTGTGCGTGCGTGTGTGCGTGCATGCGTGCGTGCGTGCGTGAGTGCGTGTGTGTGTGTGAGGGGAGGGAGGGAGGGAGGGAGGTCTCCAAAGTCCCCAGGCAGAATAATGAAAGTAAATGGATCCCAGATGGACTGTTTTTCCTCTTTTCTCTGTGTTGTCAATGACGTGAGGCGAGTGACAAGCCTCTAATGGGAAACAGACTCACACACTCTGACTTTGAACTCTGCCGACGGCGTCGAGCCGCAGAGTTGAGCCTCGTTCCACCTCAGGACAGCACCAGCTCTCTTCTTAACAACAATAGCATTAAGGAAATCTTCATCTGTTTGAAGTGCACCAATAACACTGTGCAGCTACAAGAGCTGACAAAACAATATGACTTTGTCAAGCAGACTGGTCGCACTCGGGGCTCTGCAGCCTCTCCAGCAGAGAAACAGTGCTCCTTTGTCAGTTCTGGTTGGATCAGCCAAACCTTGGGTTCACTTGTTAATGACTTTTTTCTTTAGATTTGATCATAAATATTTGTCATCTCAGGGAGATCGTCCAGTGTGGAATATTAGGGACAAACTTCACGAGCATATTGATCAAATCAGTCCAAGAAACGGTGAATCATTAAGCTTTGAATCAACTGAGATGTGAGCTACAAGTCTGGTTGTGGAAGTACAATGTCACTGTTTGGACAGTGTGTTGAAGCGTGCCTCTTGTTTGTTCCAGATCTGACTCTTAATGTGTCTACTTGAGATTAACAAGAGAATAACAAGGGAAACAGTCTTGTTATTCTCCCTCCTATTCAACATAAATCCATTTTGCCATTCAAATAGTGATTGAACTTTGCTGTTTTAAAACCTTGCTAGTGATTTAAATGTCACAAACAAGTGATGTCTCACTGGTGATGTCACCACAGCAATGTAAACAGTAGTTAAGTGTTGCTTTTTGACAGTGGCTCCAAGTGTTGACTGCAGAGTTTGTTCACTTTTTAGCCAGAACTACAGGTGTGTGTTCAACCTCTCTGGAGTGTTGACGGGTAGAATTTAGAAGTTATTATTGAGACTTGTGTATGAAGGATTCTGTTACTGCTTTTTATGCGACTCTAAAGAAAAAAGAGTTTCCTCTGCTTCTATTCTTTTCAGTTGTTCAAATCGTCACATATCAGGACAAAAACAAAAAAAGCTGCAATACACAAAAAGGAAAGACACTGTGTGAGTGTTGTGTAATGCATGACTTGTATCAACCTCTATTGGCAGCCAGTAGCAACTGCAACAACACAAAGCTCTTCATCGTGTGTGTGTGTGTGTGTGTGTGTCCTTTCAGGTCTGTGGTGATGCCCATCGCCCAGGAGTTCTCCCCGGACGTCGTTCTGGTGTCGGCTGGATTTGATGCTGCTGAGGGAAACCCAGCTCCTCTGGGAGGGTACAAGGTCTCCGCCAAATGTAAGCATAGTTCTCCACCACAGACCGCACAGTCCGTCCTCCAGCCGTTACCTCAAGGTCTCGTTCTTAGGAAGGGATGCCAATAAGAACTTTATTTTATCGTCCTGCGGATATTCAGAGATATTAATAGATTATTACAGCTCCAGTCAAGCATGGACCAAAGAGCAGGAGTCACCGTAACTCACTTGATCACTGATGTAACCATAATTATTGTAATTGGTAGTTGGTAATGTTGCCGTGGGAGGATCCACAAGGTAAAAATATACCTTTTGTTTTTGGAGAGTATTGGAAATTACAGCAAAACCTTTTTTTTAAGTCTCGCAATACGTGGTCTAATCATTGCATCTTCCGTGCCAAGCTTCATTCTTATTGGCTTTTGCACGGTTCATACTTCATGTTAACATTTCTGTGTGTTTGTCTACCACAGGTTTCAGCTTCCTGACCCGCCAGCTGATGTCTCTAGCAGGGGGTCGTCTGGTTTTGGCGCTTGAGGGAGGTCACGACCTCACAGCTATCTGCGACGCATCTGAAGCCTGTGTCAGTGCACTCCTGGGCATACAGGTAAGGCATGCTGGGTTAATGGAATCGGGTTTCAAATGTCTGTCCAGGATTATCTGCGTAACTGACACATGAAGGAAGCATGAAAATGAAGTACTTTTCAGGGATTGTGGTATTTGAATTTGTGGAATATCGGGGGGGTTGAAAAGTCAGGCATGACAGGCGGGAAAGTTTCAAACTTAAAAAACAGATTTCAGATATTTCTCTTCTTCGAATGGGCTGTTTACCCCTTTGTTAATTCCCCTTCCCAAAGTTAAGAAAATTGGCCCATGTACACACACATTGATGGAGCCCATAGTATGATGTAGTACAACATACTGTATGAAATGTGCTTTTTCTTTTCAATAATATCTGTGGATTCAGTAAGTGTGTTTTTTAGACAAGAAATGATATCTCTTCAGTCACCAGCCATTTAACCACTGAAAGGATGTCAGACTAAGACTAAAGATTAAGATTAAGACTAAAGTTATTTGATTGTGTCTTCATGTGTGCGTCTGTCCTGTAGGACCCGCTGCCTGAAGAAGTCCTGCTTCAGAAGCCCAATGCCAACGCAGTCCGCTCCCTGCAGACGGTCATCCAGATACAAAGTGAGCACAATCAAACTTTATTCACTTCTTCTTTCGTTTTGTTGTCGGTTGGTCCTCTCCAGTGCTACGCTCATTCTCTTCCCTCTCCGCCTTCTTCTTTAGATGTTTAGATGTTGACGATACAACCTTACACATTCACACTACTCATGATGCACATAACAATAACAGCTGACTCAATTACATAACACAAACACAAAGAAAATAAACAAGCTCCGACTGAATCTATCTTTATCAAACAGATAAATATCATCCTTTAACACTGCATGCCCATGGAACTATTTCACAAATATATGATAACACACAAAAGTTTATTTATCTATTACAAAACTTTCGTCCTCTTCCTCCTTTGTTTCTTTATTTTATTACATGAAAGCAGCAGTAACCTGTGTGTGTGGATGTTGCAGGTCAGTACTGGCAGAGTGTGAAGGCTCACAGTGGGTCAGTGGGTCTGTCCTACCTGGCTGCTCAGACAAGAGACTGTGAGGAAACAGATGCTGTCAATGCTTTGGCCTCGCTCTCTGTGGGAGTCCTCTCCAACAAGAGGTAGAGCACACACACACACACACACACACACACACACACACACACGACAAAAAACACACTTTCTCCACTCACAATCTGTGTTTTTCTCCAGCGTCCCTGATGAGCCGATGGAGCACGACAGCGACTCCATGTAGAAGAATCCGACCAATCACCTCACAGAAACTCACCTTCAGGAGTCGGGCCGGACCTGTAGCCTCGGATCTCTTGCGCTGTCACATTACCATGAATGGGGATGCATTTTGTAATGCCACTGAGCCCCACCCATCTGCCTTATTCACCACACATGCACATCCAGCGACCCACAATGCTGAAACCTCTAACAGACCTGCCGTACGAGCACCTCAATGCTGGTAACCACTCAGCTGGCGCCAGCAGCACTACCTGCAGCTGGGAAACCTTCTGAAACCTCACCAAAGAGCAATACAAGATGATTTTTAATAGACTTTCCATGTCTCCTGACTGACAGTGGATTGTGGTCCGGGCCCACAGCTCTGTGACCACAAACCTTTATAGGAACAGACACTGACTCTTCTTGAAGCACTATGTACCAGCAGCTGTTTTGTTGCCTTAATTTTTTGCCTTAAAGAAAAGACCAACATCTGGTTTCAGAAGGAGACGACTTTGGATTATAAATTCTTTTTCTCTCGTGCCACATCGCTTCATCCATATCAGAGCTGAAGCCACTGTCGACCAAATGTATTGCAGAACGGCTGACGCAGGACGAACCTACTGTATGACATCAGGTGCAAGCATGTACTGTGCAAATGTACCTGATGGATGAGATGCAAAAAGAAAAGAAAAACAAAGAAAGAAGTGGCCACATCAAAAAAAAGAAAAGAACATTGAGAAGAAGACACGGAGATTGTCTGTTTTAATGATGTCATTACATGCAGTTTAACCACTAAAAGAAGACAACAAAGAACTCAAGGGAAAGAGAGAAAATGAAGACACAAAAAGGACAACTGTGGTTTTTTTGTAGAAACAAAGAAAGGGCGAAAGTCCCTGTTGTTTAATTGCACTGTTCATTCCATAATGTGAACCATAAGAAATTCCAAAGCTCTGGGAAAAAAAACAACTCCTCTCTCTAGGTTATTTAATAGTTGTTTTTTTTTTTTTTTTTTTTTTTTTTTTTGAAGATTTGGATGAAATGGTGTTTGCTATATTTTTTTCCCACTCTTCATGAGATGTCTTATGAAGTCTCTGACTCAGTCTAAGGACACGTTTTGGCCGAAATACTGTACAGTTGTATTTCCTCTGAAGTTAATCTGAGAAGTAGGCAAGATCTTAGGAGAAGGGTTATTTTTTACTCCTGTTCAGTGTCTTAAATGCACACACACACACACACACACACATACAAACACACGCACATATAAATACACCTACACACACATGTACAAAGCAATGATGAACTGTTGATGTACCACTAGTATTGAATACTGTATATTATTGTTTATATTTGAGACTAAAGGAGCATTCATTCCACCGTGGCACCACTGAGGACCATTGTATTGTTCGATAGTGGCAATAATGTTAATGCACTTAATGGACATCACCCAAAGAAAACTGCCTTAAAAATAAAAACAAAAAAAAAAAAAAAGAAAAAACAGCCTGCACTTGGCAACGGGACTGTATGCAAGCAACAGGAGGGACCAGTACGGACACTGCTCTTACTCTACTTTTAAAAAAGACGACATTCGAAACCTGTGGATTTAGGTGAACACCGTATATGCAGACTTTTGTATTCTCGTTTGATGAGTTCAGTGACCCGGACTGGTGTGAGTGTTTTGTTCATGATCTAAATAAGTTTGGAGTCCAAGCTTCATCACAGTCTAATTAAGGAAACTAATGCATTGTGTTTTTGTTTGTACGTGACCTTTTTTTTTCTGTTTTTTTTTTTTTTTCCCATATGTGACTCTTCTCTGCAACCGTGTTTAGTAGCTGCACTCCTTGTTACAGTCAACCTAGAGTCGATCGTCTTTGTAGTAGAGGTCATGTTGATCGTTGTGACCGCCCTGCTACAGGGGCGTGTGAGGGCTCTGCATTCCAAAAGTACAAATAACAAGATCATGTTTTTTAGTTTGCAAGTTCATTTTTCATGCGCACTAGGTTTCACCAGTTTAGACTTCTGATGAACATGAATGCTAATGCTTTTAGATTAAAGCTGCAGATAGATGAATTTAGATAATTACATTTGACAAAATTTGACTTTTATTTCCAGATTTCTATAATTTGAAGCAGCATCTAGACACTAAAAGTCTCTAATGAAACTGAGACTGATGAAATTCATATTTGACTAGTACTTTCTACATGGCTTTGTCTAAAAATTGTTGCATTAGAGATTTCCTTTGAGTTTTTTATAACCATAATAATAAATAATTTTAAATCAGCACAATCCAATTTTCAACAGATTTGATAAAAAAGAGACCCGATGTTGCGTTTGTGTGTAAATACAGCTTTTGTAAAATCTAGAATAACATTAGCACAATCTCCACAGCGAGTTCATTTAACTGGCTGGAGGAACTGTTGTCAGTTTAGCATCCAGGTAGGAAACTGTATGAGAGTTTAGTCAGACCCTGGGCATCATCTGCCCAACAGAAGGCCTCAGAGTTTTTCTATCAGACAGCAGGACAGTATAGATCCGTCTGAGGTCCCTCTGCTGTTGCACTACTGCTCCATCCCAGTAGGAATTGTTAAGGAAATGTTGCATGGAGGACTTTTATTCTGAGGTGAGGGCAACTGAAAAGTGTGTCATTCTTTTAGTGTCGTTCATAGTATTCTTAACAACAAGTGACAGCATTCAAACGACATGCTGTGCCTGTCTTATACACCGTGCCGGGCAGGTGCACGCGGCGTCTATGAAGTAAATGTTTTCTATGTTGTCTATGTGTGCGTGTGTGTGTGTGTGTTAATGTGAGAGAGAGTGTGTGTGATTGCATGTGCACTAGTACATATGTAAACTTCTGTCATGTGTTTTGTGTGTTAGAGTGTGTGTGTGTGTGTGTGTGTGTTTATGTATGTATGCCTGTCTAATACTGTAAGTGACCTCTCCTGTATTATATATATTTTTTGTCTTATAGAGGCCAGTATTGCCTCAGCTCTTAATTCCCTTTATTACTGATGTCATTGTACCTTCTTCTTAAAGAAAGACACTGTAAATAGAAACTTCAAGACCAAAATACACATGTCACACATGTGCCTTGATGCATTCAGTAGTATGTGTATTGGTAACTCTTAACTAACTGGACTTACAGTAACTCTGTATCTAAAAACATGACATTGAAATCTTTGTTTCATTGCTATTCTTTATTATTTACCTGTATGTGTTATTTTTCCTTTACATTTCCTACCATGTGTATGTATAGAAAGATTGTCTATTTTGTACTGTTATTTTTGTCTTTTCCTCTTGATTAAAAAAAAAATAACTTCCAGTATAAGCCCGTTTTTATATTTCCCTTTTGTCCAAACATCATCATATAAAATGCAATTTGCATAGAACTTGTGCATCAGTGAATATAACTGTGATAATCTTCACAAAATCCTGATTCTATTTCCTAATAAATTACTAAAAGATCATTGAATGTTTGCAGTAACTGCATTAAAAAGTGAATATGACCAGGTAGGATTTATGGGTGTTTGAGTGAGCGCTGAGCATCACGATCATGTCAATAATTTATGGAGACAGATCTGAAGTTGGTTGTGAATAAAGAAAGTGCTTGGTGTGTTAGGTTAAAGAATATTAGCTTAAAGGAGGTTAAGGAAGGTTTAATTTTTTTTGTTATCACTGACAGGAACAAGTCATCTAGCAATATCTATGAGTTCAGTTTTAAGTGACATCTGCCCTGTTGTCCCTAGTAGCAGGCTAATTTGCTATTTCAGTTCCAGCTGTTTAGACACTGTCCACCAGCAGATTAGAATAGCACATTAAGGCGTCTTATTCATACCACAAATTGCAAGCCAGTATCTTATTAGCTAGCTACTGCTGTTTATTCCAAAAACATCATGCATCTTAATGCCATGTCCATGTCACATTGTGTTACAATAATTACTAGTTTCCGTCTTATTTACCTCAGATCCTCACTGTGCACGTCTACCGTTAAGACTTTGATGCAGACATGCCTCAAAAAATCAAACTTTACAAAAGAAAAAAAATCTCAGTTCAGTGCAATTTAACCCAAATCTAATACAAGCATCTCATTCATACATATACCAATTTTTGTGTACTGTGTAGTCATGACAACGTAATAGGTGTCGTCATGATTCAGCCAACACTTTTTGTCTAATGACTTTGTGGCCATGTAAGCACCTGGGTGCATTTCTTTTTGACTCAGTCGGTCTATCTTGAGATGACATGAATGCTTGGATGTCACAAACACATTTCCCATCCGTTCCACAGAACGATCAATGTATCCCAGGTGTGACGTCACCGTGTGATCAGCGCAACTAGTCGTCCTCCTTGGGCAGTCACCTACTAAGAGCCAGCATCCACCGGAAAAAGCAAACTTCTCAGGTCTGTGAACTCAAAAAGAAAAAAAATCAATAAGCAGATGTCACATGACTCTGTCCACCGGAAGGAGGCAGAGAAAAAGCTGCTCGCACTTATCTTCCTATCACTGAAACACCACGTGCAGCACTTCAGCACTGTTTGATTGACGCCTGCTGTTAGTTTCTGTTGCACCGGTTAAGGCGGGACGACTTACACCTTTAGTCTTTTTATGTGCTCAGATATCGTGTTAAGTTTTTTTTCCAACTCCACCCAGCCTGCAGCTGAGCAGAGCTCTAATCAGAACAAACGGAAACACCTGTGAGCGCGAGCAGAGCCTTTAAGTGGCTGCACCGGTGAGTCTGCCCGCTGAGACCTCACATATACGTCACGTTACTGCAGACCCGGGGCTTTTTTTCAAAGCTGCCGTGTTTTAGAGGAAGAGAAGAACATTTTCAAGCCACGTCACTGATAAAATATACAGTTTTCCTTTGTATTTAGATTGGTGAGAGACTCTGCCATGGAGTGGGACCAATTAGCCTCTAATTAACTTACAATGTGGATTAAAATAAATACCAGGAAGCTGTGTCAACAGAAATCTGTAGACTGACGAGACCAGTGTGTAGTGTTCTTCTCATGTATGAGGTCCTATAGATGTTGTACTGATGTTTTACTGATTTAACTCTTTGCTCAGGCATGAAAATACACAACAGAAAAGATCAAGCGACAACCGAGAGGTTTAAGTCCACACAGGCTATAAATATCCCCACAGCCCTTAATTGCACATTAACGTGTTCTTTTTGGAGGAATTAACTGTTCCTGACTGACCAGGCAAAGGCACACAGACCTCATTAAAAAAACAAAAAAAAAAAACTGAGCGGGGGAAGGAGGAAGGAGGAAGGAAGGGAAAACAAGAGAGACAGTTTAACAAGAGAGACAGGAGACAAAGAGGGTGTGGTGCCAGTGTAAATCTTTGCGCTGTTCATCATCCAGTTTTGGCCAAACAACACAAACCATTTTGAAGACAGTTTTTTATTTTTCAAATAATGATACATGTGCTGTATGTATCACTTACTCTATTTTTTCTGCTTGTAATGTTTATATTCAGTCATACTGTATCAGTGTCATTTGTCATAAAGCACCCCACTGTATATGCTTCAAGTAAATGCTCTTAAAAAAAACCAAAACAAAGCCTCACACACGCTGTAAACACATGTACAAGAGATGAACACACTATTATCTGAGATTGAAATCTGCAGTCTTTTTCCAGTGACAGCTATTATATAAATTTTCTTAGAATAATCTCTAGGGGAAAATAGAATGAAACAAAAAAACACAAATACTGCTCCAACTTGACCTGTGGCGGCATTTTCTTCTCAATAAATGACAGCGTTTTGTTGATTTAGCTGGTCCAAAGAAATGTCAGTCTGCATCCCGATCACTTTTGATCTATCCAAAAGTGAGGAACCTAAAGGTTTCCGTTTGCATCAAAGTCCATGTGATTGGGATGGCAGACATGGCAGCAAGGAGCATGGAGATGTAGAGGGAAGATCACAGTCACTTTATTCAGCAGCTGGAAAGATAAAAATGGAGACATGTTACTGAGTTTGTGGCGTGTATTTATTATTGAATGATGGTCATTGGAATAATCTTTTTATTACTCCAAATTACTGCTGCTAACAGGAATTTCATATTTCCAAAATGCCACCAGAGGAAGATAACAGTCATCCTCTTCATTCATTTCATCATTGTTAAAAATAACAGAAATAAATGTTGTTTTTTTTAACATTAATAATCCTAGGATCAAGATCTCATGTCAGTAAAACAACTTGATTCAAACAAGGGTGGGTGACACATGGGCATTAAACTGAAACACGAATGGGCGTTAGCAAATCTCCAAATTTTTCACACATCATCAATCTCTGCACCAAGAAAAGTTCTGGAGTAAAACTTGCAGACGCCATCATGTCTCAGTACGTTAGATGAACGCTGTCTGGAATTAATGTAGAGTCAAAATTCATCTGCCTGATTGTAAAGGACCAGTCGCACTCATTTTATAAACAAAATGCACAGGGGCTTCTTTTTTTCCTCTCTCCCAGAACTGAATTCTTTTTAAATGTCAAGTGTCTTGTAACATGTCAGTGAAGGTTAGTCCTCTGAGACCACAGTGTGCTGACTATGGGGCTCAGTAAAAGACTTCATAGGAGCTGGAAACATTAGCTACCTCCCTGGGACATTCTAATGATAGGTTGCTGGGCTTCATGCATATTGGCAATGAAGGAAGAAGTGGTTTGTCATGGATATGTGTTGAATACAAACACCGTGTCAGCCCCCATTTCCTTGTAGTTTGGTAGTTGCTAAACCTTGCAGGTGGTGTTTGCTTGGCATTAGGTCTCTTTCATGTGAGACCAAAATCATAGACGCAATAATGCAAAAACTGGCTTTTGTTGCTTTAGTGCATGTGTATAATTTGGTAATTATGGATGTGGACTTTTAAAGAAAAGGGCACTCGGGTTCTTTTTTAAAACTCAAGACGTGGGGGGATGTGTGTGTGTGTTTTTGTGCATGGGTGCGTGTGCACAACTACACCTATGCATGATAGCTCATTTGTGTGTGTATAAATCAGCTCTCACCTCCTCCATCACTCCCAGTGGTTTATGGGAGCCCAGCGGGGAGGCACATCAGCCCCCCCCCCCTTTGATGGTGACACACATGATTCATGGCTTTAAGGGACCGTTTGTTTTCATTACGCCTCCTCGTCAGCTCGCTGTAGCTGTATCACGGTTTCATGCAACGCAAGCAAATTTGGGCAAAAATGAGAGGAAAGAATTTCAAGAGGAGAGTTTTTTTTGGCGCTGGAAGAAACAAAGGGGCTTGGTTTGGGTATAAAGAGGAGAAACTTAAGTCAGGATGACGGCTGCCCGCGGCTACTTTTTCCACTGTCGTTTGGGTTCAGAGGTGGTCAGGGATTCATAATATGTCAGAGTCTCGGAAAAGTAGGAGTTGAAAGGGTAGGGAAAAGTCAAAGGTCCCAATATGTCTCGAATTGAACATCCAATTCTGTCTTCCCGGTTCTGACTTTCGTCTAGTCCCTCCTCTGCATCCTCTGGTTGTTACTTTTTATGTATCATGCAAAACTTGCTCACACTCGCTGGCCCAAGGCAGAAATTAAGTTACATAAAAATATAAAAATGAGCATCAAATGTGGCTCAAAGTATGCATACCTATGATGATGACGATGGTAACGATGACGATGATGATGATGATGATGACACTGATGGCAGTGACGGTGATAAAAATCAAGGGTGATGATGAGGATGAAAGCCGAGGGCTCACGGAGGCTCCAGCAGAATGAGCCGTGCTGTCATGTGGAAGCAACATTTAGGGGCATCACATCCTTAAACCATCAGGTTGTTGGAACTGAATAAATGTTGAATGCAGTCCGGTTGTTTTTGTCTCTCTCCTGTTCTGCCCTCCACTGTGATCTATGTAAACAAAGTACAAATGTTGGGGGAAAAAAAAAAATCCTTTTTGAAAAGCCAGGAATCATTCACCGAGCACAATGTTCCTGTTGTGGCACATTTCTCCAGACCTATCACTGGCACACAACAACAACACATCACCAGAATCCATATTTACATCTGATATGTAGGTTAAGAACAATGTCAGCTACCACAGCTTTCGTGAAAGTGCAGTGGCTTAAATGCTCACATGAAACTATCAAGTGTCAGATAGTCTTTCCACTGAGGAAAACTACGTTGAGGTGTGAAACGGTGTGAGTCCACCGGTCGGCCACGGGTCAGCTGTCTGTGTCAAGTAAGAACATTACCGTCATGAGGAATTCATCATATGTTTTAGGGCAGCAGTCAAAAGACAAGTCAGGCGGGGTTAGTGACCAGCGGACATGGTCGACCAGGCCCCCTCCATCCTCCACACAGAGAAGGCGTAGCTCAGTCTTTCATGGGCCAGGTAGTTACATCCAGCCAGCTTAGAGTCCATCTCGTCGCTCTGCAGTACCTGGTACAGGAAGTCAATGTAGCGCGATGCCAACTTAAGGGTCTGGATCTTGCTCAGTTTGTCAGAGGGGAGTGTGGGGATTATTTTACGCAATGAGGCAAAGGCTTCGTTCAGAGATTGCGTCCGCTGGCGCTCCCGGATGTTGGCAATCACCCGCTGGGCGTGTGGGTCCTCGATGGCTGAGAGACCTCCGGGACTCGGGCCGGGGACGGGAGAAAGGGACGGCTCTGAGGAAGGTGGCCGATGCTGAGGACTCTTCTTCAGTCTCTTGGGTCCGGTGGGGGTGTAGATCTGGATGTCGTCCCCTGGCTTGACCTTGCTGTAGCTTGCTGATGTGGTGGGAGTCACTGTGGTAACGCGATCCTCCGTATGTGAGCCTGTCAGCCGCTTACGCACGGTGACCCCCGGCGTCGCTACAACAACAGGACATGCGTTGGAAGGTGGTCTCCCCATGTTCTCCTTGCTGGAAACCACCCCTCCCTCAGGGTGCTCATCATTAGACTGCTCCTCCTCTCTCATGCTTGGCCACGTTTTTCTTCTGTCTTCTCTCTTCTTTATGCAACTATATCCTTCTCTGAATATCCCCAGCGTTTTTCTCTTACCTTCAGTGTCTTTCTCTCCCCTCTGCCTCTTTCACACTCTTTCCCTGTGTTCAGGAACTCCCCCTGTTACGTTGTGTGTTTCTCCGGCCTTCTGCTGTGTCCTCCTTCTTCTCCAACTTATCACTTTTAAACGTTGTCACATCCAAACATACTAGGCCAAAGTGGGTGAGTAATCAGCACTCAGCTTTGGTTTACCACAGTGCTTCTTCATCCACACACATGGAAACCTTCCAATGATCCCTTCCCAGTCTCTGTCAGTGTACACTGCATCGGCAAACTGGACCGTTCTCATGCCTCGCTCCTGTGGCTGCATGTGAGACAACAGCAACCTGAATCTGACTTTTTAAAGGGAGGGGACCGTGAAACTTTCAGCTACCCACCCATCTGACTCACTGATTGGTCCACAGGACTTTTCTTGGACAGCTGAGCTTAAGACAACAGGAAGAATGAATCTTAAGCGATTGGTCCGATCAAAGGGACGAGGCGGAGACCAAGGTGTGCCGCACAGCCAACCAAATCAAACCGTTGTGACGTTTGCTTCTTGTCATAGAAGTTGCCCAAGTTTATAGGTTCCAGATTTCCTCCAAAGCAAGTCGCTACCATCCCCCCATCTCACTCCCTGCCTCCCTGTCCTCTCCTGTCTCCCTCAGCACGGCTCAGCACCAGCATCAGTCGCTTTCTATATAGTTCAGAGAAAAGGAAAAAAAAAGAAAAAAGCTCCACAAATGTTTTTGTTTCTGGTTTGAAAGTTGGACAAAGTTCACCTACATTTTTCTGCCACATGGTTGATCTTCCTGCGTTAGAGACGGTGGAATGTGACGATATTGTGAAGACATAACATTCCAGGCAGATGCAGTAATGGTGGTCAGGGACTTAGGTAACATGTCTTTCATTGTTTATTTTCTGCCGGGTAAACAAAAATTTTAATCGCTGCAGTTGCCAGGTCTGCCATCTTTAGTGATTGAAGAGGAAAGAGAGATGAGAGTATTCAACACTTAAAAAAAAAAAGAAAAAAAGATGCAGAAGTCGAATCTACGGCCTCGTCTCAGACACCATCAAATCACCGAAACAAAAATCCTTCTTTGGTGTTATATGTAAATAATGTAAATACATAATTTGGCAAATTAGCTCAAATATTGAGAGAACTGACACAGAGTTCTTCTCGTTTGTGAAACAACAGAGGGAGTGTGTTTTATTGTACTGGCAGTGACTTGGCTGCAGTTTCTAAGCGTAGACCTGGAGGGAGGGAAGAACTGGCATTCAGACAGCACTGCCGCACCGAGGTCTAATCACAGCATTAAAGGAAAGAATGAGTTCTGTGAATCAGAGCGAAGCCTGTGGGACATTTTGTAACTTTCATCCTCTGAGCTACGTCTAGAACAAGCCTCGGTCCGGGTCCAACGTGGACTACGCTCTCCAAACTTGTGGGGTGATCCCTACAGCGTGGACCACAGCCACACCCCCACCCCCCCGCACAAGAGAAGAGTCTTTTGTTAGCGTGATGCTTTTCAGAGACAAGATGCTTCCCTCTGATGAAGACGCTGGAAAACTGAAGGTGGTTTTGGACATGACACAGAACTGGAAAATGTCGGTCTCTCCACTGAGTCAACTCACCGATGGCTCAGGTCCACAACAAGAAGAGAAACCTCCATTGTCTGACCACAGATGATACCATTTCTCTTGAGCACACGCAAACACACACACACACACACACACACACACACACACACACACACACACACACACAACGATATTTGCACTCGTATTGGTAATGTGCACAATCCCGTGTCAAAAAAGGTTGCTGGAGCTTTTTGAGGCTCTTGTCCCAGATTTTTGACCCAGTGTTTTCTTCTTCTTCATCATCTCCCTTTTCTTCTTCTTCTTCTTCTTTTTCTTCTTCTTCTACGCCCTGTACAAGTCCAAAGACACAAGTCTCCACACATAGCCCAGATACGCCTTTTTATACACTGGAGTTTGCAGCTCTATGCCACTGTAAACCTGCTGCATGCTCCTATCGTGGGTTTTCTGTGTTAAAGAGAGAGAGAGAGCAGTGACCAAAATTGAGATTTATGTTTTAATTAAATAATGACATCTGCATTTGCCAAGTAATTTGAACACTGAATTTGAAAAAATGTGCACGTGAACAGTCTGCGTGGAGAGTAAATGGGTAACGAACCAACAGAATGTCAAAGAGGTTGAGGTTTACCTATTGTGACATGTCAAATGAACAACAAACTGCTTATTAACATGAAGTAACCTAACGTGAGTTAAATCGACCACCGTTATAGTGATACTTAAAATTTAAATGGTAATACTAACCATCTGACATTTTCACCGTGATTTAGCATGAAACCTTCAACCGCCTCATCTCTACCACAGACCAACAACTAGCGCTGACTGGGAGTCGAATCTGTGGCCTGATGAGTCCAGTATTCACCCTCCTTTTGGAACCTGCTGTAGTTTTTGTCAAATCCAAAGAAAGAAATGTTTGTCTCTCAGCTGCTGGATGCTTGATCACTTTCACTGCTAACTTTTGCTAGCAGTGTGTAATGTGTTAATGAGAGAATACAACTTCCTGCCGTGGCTGGAAACACGGCGGATGAGAGTAGAGTTGTCAGGATAGAAAACCGCAACGATAAGATGAGAGTGAGTAGAGGCAACGTAGATCAGATATCTTTCAGACAACTTTCACATCATTTAAGTCATTACTAAGATAAAACACTGTATTAACCACAGCTTGAAAGATTTTGAAAAGGAAGTTTGAAAAGAGTATGAGAGTAAAATATTCTCAAACTTTATACCACGAATCTGTGCATGCAGTCACACAATGATCAAATTAATATTAACACAATCAGTCTGGTGTTGAATGACTAAAAGTATTTACATAAGAGAGCTTGAGTTACTGTTACCATCCTGCTCTACAATGCTTCAAATTGTTGTTGTGGAAATGAGTGTCCATATATACTCTGTGCACATTCTGCTGCCAGAGTGGCTGATTCCTTTTCATCTTCTTCTCTTTAAACATCATCAGACCGTGCGTCCTCTCTGTGGGCAACGGGACACCTGTGATGGATCACGACTATTTACATATCACAGCTCCCTTGAAACAGTTCCTTGCTTGCTAAAAATAAATACCTCCAAGCTAGAGGAGTGATGGAAAATGGATATCAGGTTTTGATATAAACACATATATTGGGGCTGGGGAGAGAGGAGGGTCGGGTCACGCTCACAATGCTGCGTCTTTGTATGGGAAGGGCCCCCCCCCCCCGGAGGCTCACTGCGTCTGGAAAAAGGGGGAAAGAACACTGGACCCTGTCTGTTTGAACTGCACGCTCAAATGAGGACTTAGCATAAATATTTCCACCATGAGAAACGAGAGAATGTTATCACATGTGGAGCTTATATACACACACACACACACACACACACACGGCGCACACGCATGCTCGAAAATTCATGGGTTTACAATGTGGCATGCTCTTACACGGACCCACAAATAAAGAGGATCCACTATATAAACAAGTCAGTAAGGGATGTTAGATATAAGACATGGTGAAATTTGAATTTGAGTGAAGCTAATTTTCCATACAGCATCAATGACTGTCCTCCATTTAAACACTATTATTAGATTGTATCTACATTTTATAATGGAAGTATTTGTTGCAGGGCTTGGATTGGATTAAACAGAGTTAGCGTTCAGTTTACAGTATTTTTTTTTCCGAATGGGGTGAAATTATATTGTATAACTCTGCGTTGCCCAGTCCTCCAACCTGAACTCCCATATAGGTCATTTGTCCCTACCCTCTGATATGACCCATAGTTCCCATCCTGAAATAGTGCCCCGATGGTGGGTGGCGTACCATCCCTTCATCGTCGTGGTTACAATAATAAGCAGGTTAGTTTCAGGTACAAAAACCACCTGGTGAGGTTTTGGAAAACATTGCGGTTTGGGTTAAAATAAGTACTTCCTTAAGTTTGGAGGGCTTCCATTGTCATGGTAACATGGTCCTCGGCTTAAAACAGGAAATGGAAGACCACAGAGAACTGTCACCTGACTCTGCAGCTCTCCTCAAATCTGTGGAGAGTTTTAGGACTCTGGGTCATAACTTAGTGTCTTTTCTAGTTTCAGACTGACGCAGTTGTCTTTTTCCCATCCAGCGGCCACATTGTAACAAATAACAAATATACCTGCGCCTATCGGAGCACCCATGGGCGTGTTGAGCTACAGTCAGGCACAGTGCTACCTTGAGGCAGGGAAGTGATTGCACAATTGACCAACATAAACTTGGTCTAACGTCATTGGGGCCTCACTGTTATTTTAAGGGCACACTGTCAAGACAGTTATACATAGACACTTATACACAACGGGGCATCCTGACGTACGTGACGCTGCGATTTTGCAGATGAAGATCAGCGTGAAGTGCTGAGGACACGGCGTCCTCCGTGGATCTGTTGGCCTTGTAGGCAAACTGATGTCGGTGAAAATTTGTGGAGCGCCATCAGGCCTACACTACATTACATTAGTGACATCAGTATGTTGTTGTTGCACTGAATGTGCCAGATGTGTTGTGTTGGTGCTAAACATTATATTAGATACCTGCAGTGTGCCAAAGCTGTCAATGCAGGATTCAGCCATGACTGATGATTTCGCCAGGACTTAGTAAGGACACAGAAAGCGTATGTGTGTTTCTTTCTCACCAGTCTGTATGAGACTACCCTGCATCTTATTAAAGAATGCAGAAGAATAGAGCTAATTCTGCAGCCTGAGCTGAGTGGGGGGTTTCTTTCTTGTGATTGTAGCAGGTAGTGGGAGGTCCCTTCCAGGTCATCATAGAGTTTCGTCATGTCTACTTCCTGGTTTTAATTGTTTTGGGGGAGGCTATATATACAACCCTGATGCTGCTTAGTTTAGTTATTGTGTTTTTGGTTTAACTGTCTGT